CTGCACTTCCTCTTATTGTGCTTGACCATTGTATGAAGTTGTCTTGAATTCCAACAAGTACGTTTCAAGTTATGCTCCTGACAAGGAAAAGTATCAAAGGGCAGTAACTCTGTATTTTGTCAAAATGGAGTTATGGCTCTTGTGCACTGCACTTCCTTTTAATGTTCTTGACAACTGTATGAAGTTGTATTGAATTCCAAACAGTAGTTTTCAAGTTATGCTCTGGACAAGGAAAAGTAACAAAGGGCAATAACTCTGTGATTAGTCAAGATGGAGTTATGGTTCTTGTGCACTGCACTTCCTCTCAATGTGCTTGACCATTGTATGAAGTTATATTGAATTCCAACCATTAGTCTTCAAGTTATGGTCCGGACAAAAAAGGCAATAGAAAAATAACAAAGGGCAATAACTCTGTAATTACTTTAGATAGAGTTATGGTTCATGTGCACTGCACTTCCCCTTATTGTGTTTGACAATTGTATGAAGTTGTTTTGAATTCCAACCAGTAGTTTTCAAGTTATGCTCTGGACAAGGAAAAGTAACAAAGGGCAATAACTCTGTAATTAGTCAAGATAGAGTTATGGTTCTTATGCACTGCACTTCCTCTCAATGTGCTTGACCATTGTATGGAGTTATATTGAATTCCAACTATTAGTCTTCAAGTTATGGTCCGGACAAAAAAAGCAATGGAAAAGTAACAAAGGGCAATAACTCTGTAATTAGTCAAGATAGAGTTATGGTTCTTATGCACTGCACTTCCTCTCAATGTGCTTGACCATTGTATGTAGTTATATTGAATTCAAACTATTAGTCCGGACAAAAAAAAAGCAATGGAAAAGCAACAAAGGGCAATAACTCTGTAATTACTTTAGATAGAGTTATGGTTCTTGTGCACTGCACTTCCCCTTATTGTGTTTGACAATTGTATAAAGTTGTTTTGAATTCCAACCAGTAGTTTTCAAGTTATGCCCCGGACAAGGAAAAGTAACAAAGGGCAATAACTCTGCAATTAGTCCAGATAGAGTTATGGTTCTTGTGCAATGCACTTCCTCTCAAAAAGCTTGACCATTGTATGTAGTTATATTGAATTCAAACTATTAGTCTTCAAGTTATGGTCCAGACAAAAAAAAAGCAATGGAAAAGCAACAAAGGGCAATAACTCTGTAATTACTTTAGATAGAGTTATGGTTCTTGTGCACTGCACTTCCCCTTATTGTGTTTGACAATTGTATGAAGTTGTTTTGAATTTCAACCAGTAGTTTTCAAGTTATGCCCCGGACAAGGAAAAGTAACAGAGGGCAACCGACCGACCGCCCGACCGACCACCGGGTGACTCCTATATACCCCCCCAAACTTCGTTTTTAGGGGTATAACAACAAGAGCTGTCAGAAGGACAGCATGCTTGACTATTCTTAGTGCCTGTAATAATGGGACATATTATTGTAAAATAGCTTGATTCAGTGACCTCCTCATGTAGACAGGTTGAGATTATGATGGTGAACAAGTGTGCAAAGTCTTAAAGCCATATCTTGATGGATCATCTGAGGTGGTAAACAAACAATAACATAAAGTCAAGGTCAAAAAAGGGGCATAATTCTGTCACTATGCTTGCTAGAGTTACCTCCTCCAGTGTAGAAAACATTAATAAAGTCTTAAGCTATATCTTGATGGATTATCTGAGGTGGTAAGCAAACTTTAACATAAATTCTAAGTTGAAACAAGAGGGTCATGATGGCTCTTACATCACTCACCTAATTATGAAGGCTCAATCCCATTTTATTTCGGCTGTGTGACCTATTTTTTGACCATAGATTACCCATATTCAAACTTGACCAAAATCGCCAAAACAACCTTTCTAACCAATTTTCAGGATATTTGAATCACAACAGCAGCCTCTAAGGTGTAAACAAGGTTTTCCAATATAAGGGCTATGTGACCTTGTTTCTTAACACAAGTGACCCATATTTGAACTTGACCTGGAAATCATCATAACAAATTTTCTGACCAATTTCCAGGATATTTGTACAGGAACAGTAGCCCCTAGAGTGTTTTCCAATATGTAGGCTGTGTGACCTAGTATTTGACCCAAGGTGACCCATTTTAGTACTTGACCAAGTAATCACCAGAAATTACACCAAAAAGCAAGAAAGTAGGTCAAACAGTGTCAATAATATCAAAAATAGGTCAGCTGATATCAAAATGCAATTCAACATCAAAAATTACACCCCTGGTCCAGATTTCAAGTCATTAAATAAAAAAAGAGTTGGCCAGGCTATATCAAAATTATCAAAAGTAGGCCAATTGATATCAAAATTCAATTCAGGATCTGAAATTACACCCCTTGTCAAAATTTCAAGTCTGTTCATCAAAAAACAAGAAACTAGGTCAAACGATATCATTAATATCTAAAGTAGGTCAGTAGATTTCAAAATTCAATTCGGCATCAGAAATTACATTCGTGGTCAAAATTTCAAGTCTGTATATCAAAAAAAAGAGAAAAAAGGTCAAATGGTTTTAGAAAATATCAAAACAGCTCAATTGATATCAAAAATTAAATTACACACATGAAACAGGTATCCGGTTCAAAATGAAAAAAAAAAATATGACAATTTTTATCAAATTTCAATAAAAGATCAAGATGGCCCTAAATCGCTCATCTGACCTATCGAACTCATCCGAGCAATGACTTAAGACACAAGCATCCTGACCAAGTTTGATTACAATTGAGTAAAAAATGTGTCCTCTAGAGTGTTAACAAGGTTTTCCATATTTAGGCAGAGTGACCTTGTTTTAGACCAAAGGTGACCCATATTCGAACTTGACCTAGAAATCATCAAAACAAACTTTCAGACCAATGTCCAGGGTACTTGGATCATAACAGAAGCCAATAGAGTGTTAACAAGATTTTTCTATTTTTAGCTTCTGTGACCTAGATTTTGACCCCAGAGAAACCATATTCTGACTTGACCTAGAAATCATCAAAAGAATCTTCCTGACCAATTTACAGAATAGTTGGATCAAAACTGCAGCCACTAAAGTGTTAACAAGATTTTTCTATTTCTAGCTCCTGTGACCTAGTTTTCCACCATAAATGACCCATATTCAAACTTGACCTAGAAATTATCAAAACAACCTTTCTGATCAATTTGCAGGATATTTGGATCAAAACTGCAGACACTAGTGTGTTTACAAGATTTTTCTTATTTTAGCTCCTGTGACCTAGTTTTTGAATGGAGAAGACCCATACTTGAACTTGACCTAGAAATCATCAAAAAAACCTACCTGACCAATTTCAAGAATAATTGGATCAAAACTGCAGCATCTAGAGTGTTAACAAGATTGTTCTACTTTTAGATCCTTTGACCTAGATGGCCCATATTCGAACTTGACCTAGAAATCATACAAACAACTTTCCTGATCAATTTCCAGGATATTTGGATCAAAACTGCAGCCACTAAAGTGTTAACAAGGTTTTTCTATTTTTAGCTCCAGTGACCTAGTTTTTGTCCACGGATAACCCATATTCCAACTTGAAATATAAGTCATCAAAACAACCTTCTTGGTCAATTTCAAGGATATTTGGATCATAACTGCAGCCACTAGATCATTAAGAAGATTTTTATTATTTTTGGCTTCTTTAACCTAGATTTTGACCATATTAGAACTTGACCTATTAATCATCAAAGCAACCTCCCTGACCAATTTCCAAAATATTTGGATCAAAACTGCAGCTACTAGAATGTTAACAAGATTTTCCATTTTTAGCTCCTGTGACATAGTTTATGACCATAGATGACCCGTATTCGAACTTGACCTAGAAATCATCCAAACAACTTACCTGATCAATTTCTAGGATATTTGGATCAAAACGGAAGCCACTAAGGTGTTTACAAGATTTTTCTATTTTTAGCTCCCGTAACCTAGTTTTTAACCCAAAACAACCCATATTTGAACTTGACATAGAAATCATCACAACAACCTTCCTGACCAATTTCAAGAATATTTGGAGCTATAAATATCTAAGCTCTAGACCTTGCACTTTCAGAAGATTTTTAAAGATTTCATTTCAAAAAAACTATTTTTAGCCCTCCTGACTCCGATGTTCAATTCAGCAGAATCATTTTTACAATTTTAGTAGAGCTTCATGCTACAAACATCCCAGGAAAATTTCATCAAATTTGGCCCAGTGGTTTCTGAGAAGAAGTTGTTTGTATTAAAAGTTGATGACGTTCGCACTGACGGACAATGGATGTCGGACAAATTGTGATCACAAAACCTCACCTTGCGCACTTTGTGCTCAGGTGAGCTAAAAAGGGGCATAATTCTGTCCAAATGCTTGACAGAGTTACCTGCTGTGTACAGGTAGGGAAAATGATGGTGAACAAGTGTGCAAAGTTTCAAAGCCATATGTCAATGGACTTTCTCAGGTAGTACCCAAACTTTAACATAAGTGGTTACTCTGACACATACTCTCGGGGGACTGGAAAGCACTCCAGATTCTCCGAATATTTAAGCTAAAAATTGAAAGATTTGTTGCAAAACAGTAAAAGACTTTGAAAAATGCTGGATAAAACTAATAGAATTTTTTAATATCTAAAAAAATACTTGCAGAGAGAAAAACTACCAAAACAGTTTATTTACTCTTTTTCCCTTTTCTTGTGTATTTTTATACATGTACATAAGTGGGCCTCTTAACTTCATTCAATGTCTTAAATCTCTACTACTAATAATTACAAACATTATTAATGTAATTTGATATCTATGTAAATGCTCTAGTTATTCTTCACTTGAAAATAAATGGGCTAAATAATTTATCAAAATTGGTTGATTACACACTGAAAACCAACCTCAAACTTGTATACACCTTTCAACTTTCTTTGTAATGGTGGTTTTATTAAGCATAAAATTTATAATTTAAATTTCAGTTCAGTAAGGAAAAACTACATATATATAGATTTCTGAACCAAACATATAAACGCAATTAACTAAGATATACATACTTTGGCTTCACCAAGTTTATGCCACTGTGGTTTGAAATAATAGATGATTCCATTGAGAGACCCTGGTAGTGTTAAACTTCTAATCAACAGTATCATCAGCACTATGTATGGGAAAAATGCTGTGAAATATGCAGCCTGAAATAACAAAACCAAAAGCACATAATTAAACAGAAGTAAAACATATTTAACTAATGTAATAATAGAGATCAGTGACCACATGGGTCACCTCATGATAGCCAATTGCATGTTACAGGTACTGTTCAGCAGGAGACACAAAAATCATCAACAGGGCAAAACACATTTTTTAAACAAGGGCCATAACTCAACCAAAACAAAATTGCATTTGTAAAAAATGCTATGCCACCATATTAATACAAAACTAAACAGTAGTGTAAGAGAGAAAACTTTTTGTTTGTTTCTGAACTTTGCCATAATGCAGTTGTGTCTAGTGAATTTGGTGGTCAAGGTCACATTTCACATGGCTTAAATTTGATGACTGACAAAGGACAAGACAGTAAGTCATGTTGTCAAACTCTAGGTCAGCTGATATCTAAGTTCAATTTACATCTTAATCTGTGCACTTGGTCCAAATTTCATAGATGTACATGCAAAGGACAAAAAAGTAGGTCACTTGTCAAAATCTAGGTCAGCTGACATTAAAATTCAATTTTGCATCACAAACTGTGCATATGGTCCAAATTTCATGGCTGTACATCAAATGATAAAAAAGTAGGTCACTGTCCCCTTCGGCTGGGCAAAATTTTGACCTAAGGGTTTAATTCAAACAATATTGATACAGGTCCACTAGACAATGTTTCATGTCAAATATCTAACATGTGGCTTTCTTCTATTCAGAATACATTTGTTTTAGTTTCTGTTTTTACTATATGTACATAATGAAAATCAATGTCCCATAGGGCTGGGCCAATTTGAACCCCAGGGCTATAATTTGAACACTCTTGTTAAAGGTTCACTATGCAGTGTTTCATGCAAAGCAACCCCAACAGTGCCAATTTTCACACTAGGGGCAAAATTTAAACAACTTTGGTAGAGTATCTTGTACCTTCAGACAATCAGATTTTTTTACTATATGTACATAGTGAAAATCAAAGACCCCAGGTGGGGCCAATTTTTACCCCAGGGCTATTAATTTGAAAAATCTTGGTAGAGGTCTACCAGACAATGCCTAATGCAAAATATCTAATCTCTAGCCTTTGTCAATAAGGGAACCCTATGACCCCCTGGGCAGGGCCAATTTTGACACTAGGTGCAAAATTTGAACAACTTGAGGATTACCTATAAATGATATTATATACCAAATATCAAAGCTCTAAGCCTTGTACATTCAGACAAGAAGATTTTTAAGTTTTTACTATATGTACATAGGGAAAATCAATGACCCCTTGGATGGTGCCAATTTAGACAAGGGCTACAATTTGAACAATCTTCACTACACAATGTTTCATGCCCAATATCTAACCTTTAGCTTTTGTCAATACTGAGAAGAAGATTTTAATTTTTTTTACTATATACATATAAGGAAAACCGATGACCCCTCTGGGTCAGGCCAATTTGGACAATAGGGGCAAAATTTGTACAACTTTGGTAGAGGACCTACAGATGATATTATATACCAAATATCAAAGCTCTAAGCCTTGTATTTTCAGACAAGAGGTACTTTATGAACATAGTGAACATCTATGACCACCGGGGGCAGGGCCAATTTTGACCCAAGGGCTATAATTTGAACAATCTTAGTAGAGGTCCACTACACAATGTTTCATGCCAAATTTCTAACCTCTAGCTTTTGTCAATTCCTCCAAGAAGATGATTTTTAAGTTTTTACTATATTCATACAAAGACCTATAACCTCCTGGGCAAGGCCAATTTTAGCTCTAGGCTTATATTTTGGTAGAGGTCTAAGAGACAATCCCTTATGCAAAATATCTATGCTCTAGGCCTTATGGGTCTTTACAGGAAGATTTTTTTTCCCTATAATTCTTTTTGGTTGCCATGGCAACCAGATTTCTGCATGGAATGGAAATTTTTAAACAGCTTTGGAAGCTCTTCACCGCTAAGTTTGGTTGAAATTGGACTAGTGGTTTTTAACAAGAAGATTTTTTAAGTTCACTATATAATCTAGGGGTGTCACAGACAAAATGCTAACCTTTTAAATAGCAAAGGTTTTTTTTCTTCTTCATATAACTTCTACCCTAAAAAGGTACTGTTCCCAATAGAAAATAGTTTAAATTCCAACTAGAACTCCGCGAGTCGGATGTGTCGCCTTGTGAACAATATAGTTTAGGAGAAATGGCCAGGACAAAAATGAAATATGAAAACTAACAAAGGGCAATAACTCAAAAAATAATAAGTGCAGAGCAGCAGTTTCTGTGCACTGCACTTCTTATCAATAAGATCTATCATTCTATGAAGTTTCAAGTCCATATCTTTTATAATTTATGAGAAATAGCCTGGACAAAAATAAAGTATGAAAATTAATAAAGGGTAATAACTCACAAATAAGAAGTGCAGAGTACCGGTTCTTGTACACTGCACTTTTTCTTAATGAGATCTATCATCCTATGAAGTTTCATGTCCATAGCTTTCATACTTGAGGAGAAATGACCAGGACAAAAATAAAGTAAGAAAATCAACAAAGGGCAATAACTCAAAAAATAAGAAATGCAGAGTATCAGTTCTTATGCACTGCACTTCTTCTTAATGAGATCTATCATCCTATGAAGTTTCAAGTCCATAGCTTTTATACTTTAGGAGAAATGGCCCGGACAAAATTAAAGTATGAAAATTAACAAAGGGCAATAACTAAAAAAATAAGAAATGCAGAGTACCTGTTCTTGTGCAATGCACTTCTTCTTAATGAGATCTATCATCCTATGAAGTTTCAAGTCCATGGCTTTTATACATTAGGAGAAACGACCCGGACAAAAATAAAGTATGAAAATAACAAAGGGCAATAACTCAAAAATTAAGAACTGCAGAGTACCGGTCCTTGTGCACTGCACTTCGGGTTATTGAAAGAAGCATGCATACCAAGTTTGAAGTCAATCAGACTTATAGTGACTGAGTTATGCTCCGGACAAGCTTTAGGGGACGCCGACACCGCCGACAAAAGTAACCCCTATATGTCGCCTTTTCAAGGCGACACAAAAATGGCTCTTCAAAATTCCCACAAGACCAAGTGATTTCTCTGAAATCATTTAAATCCAACATATTCATATAAATCACCACTCAATAGTTCACCTGGACAGTGGAAGCTGTTAGCTGTCTTTATTCACTATGACTTATCTAATTTGTAGCCATGATGGCCCTGAAATCGCTCACCTATATATAGGCCCCTGGGCCAAGGCCAATTTTAAACCAGGGGCTTTTATTTGAACAAACTTGGTAGACACCCATTAGAAGATGTTTCATGATAAATATCTAAGCCCTAGCTCTTTCGGGTTTTTATCAGAAGATTTTTTAAGTTTATACTATATTTTAAGTTATTGAGCGGACAAGCTTTTTTAGTCAAGGCCCCTGTGACCTTGACCTTTGAACCAGTGTAATAACAAGAGGGCCATGATGGCCCTGAGGTCGCTCACCTGAATATAGGCCCCCCCAACCCCCCCCCCCCCAAACGTTGCAGGGCCAATTTAACCCAAAGGCTTTTATTTGCACAAACTTGGTAGACACCATTAAGAAGATGTTTCATGCTAAACATCTAAGCTCTAGCTCATTGGGCTTTATTGAAAGAAGATTTTTTTAAAGTTTTACTATACACATATAGGGAAAAACAATGACCCCCCCCCCCCCCCCTTGCCGGTTTTGACCCCAGGGCTTTAATTTGAACAAAATTGGTAGACATTCACTAGAAGATATTTCATTCTTAGTATCTAAACTCTAGCTCTTTGGGTTTTTATAAGAAGATTTTTTAAGTTTTTACTATACACATATAAGGAAAATCAATTACCCCCAGGGCAGGGCCAATTTTAACCTTAGGGCCTTTATTTGCATTAACTTGGTAGACACCCATAAGATGTTTCATGCTAAATATCTTAGCTCTATCTCTTTGGGGAGCTCTTCGGGGTTTTTAAAAGAAGATTTTTTAAAGTTTTTACTATATACATAAAGGGAAAAACAATGACCCCCCTGGGGCAGAGTCAATTTTTACCCCAAGGCTTTTTTTTGAGGACACTTGGTAAACACCCACTAGAAGACGTTTCATGCTTAATATCTAAGCTCTAGCTGTTTTGGTTTTTTTAAAAGAGGATTTTTTAAGTTTTTACTATATACAAATAAGGAAAATCAATGACCCCCTTTGGGCGGTGCCAATTTTTACCCCAGGGCTTTCATTTGAACAAACTTGGTACACACCCACTAGAGGATGTTTCTTGCTAAATATCTAAGCTCTAGCTATTTGGGTTTTTTAAAAAGAAGATTTTTTAAAGTTTTTACTATATACAAATAAGGAAAATAAATGACCCCCTGGGGCGGGCCAATTTTGACCCCAAGGCATTTATTTGAACAAACTTGGTAGACACTGACTACCTGTTTAAACTGATAAATGTGACACCCCTAATATAATCTCTATGACACACACACATGCACGCACACCAACACACACAAATGAATCACTATATGCAACCGCATCGCAAATGATGCGCTGGCACACGCAAATAGTTGAATCGCCATATGCCATGTGGCATAAAAATGTTCAGTATTACCTTTCCACCAGACTTGATTCCTTTAGCAAGACAGAAACAAACAAGTATCCATGCTAGAAGAAGGCAAAGAGCAAGCTCCCACTTCACTGTTCCCACATCATGAACACCTTCTGTTATATCCAACACAACTTTGCTGTAGAAAATATTATGAATTCAAAGTATAATGTTATATTTCTTGACAAGAGCTGTCAGTAATAGAAACTAGAACTGCCACTGTCATGGCGTGAATACCCCCGCATACCACTTTATCAGAAACAACAGTGGCCATTGAGAGCTCAAGGACAACCTCCCTGCCAAATCTGAGGTTACTAAGCCAGTGCATTGCTAAGTTATGTATTCTACATGCTTCAAATGTGAAAATGTCAAAGTCAATACACTGAGGACAGGCATTCTTAAGCATTTGAGCAGACAAACTTATTATAGTAAAAAATCCCTGTGACTTTGACCTTTGACAGTCACCTTAAAATCAATAAGGGCCATCTACTAGTCATAAACAACATCAATACCAAATATAAAGACTGTGGGTCAAAGGTTTCTTAAGTTATTGGGTAAACTTTTGAAGTCAAAGTCCCTGTGACCTTGACCTTTGACCCAGTGACCTGAAAATCAATAGGGGTCATCTACTAATCATGACTAACCCCCATGCCAAATATGAACACTGTGGGTCAAAGGAATCTTTAGTTATTGGGTGGACAAGCTTTTTTTACTCAAGGCCCCTGTGACCTTGACCTTGACCCAGTAACCTCAAAATCAATAGGGATCATCTATTAGTCATGACTAACCTCCATGCCAAATATGAACACTGTGGGTCAAAGGAATCTAAAGTCATTGGGCGAACAAGCTTTTCTAAGTCAAGGCCCCTGTGACCTTGACCTTTGACCCAGCAACCTCAAAATCAGTAGGGGTCATCTACTAATCATGACTTAACTCCATGCCAAATATGAATACTATGGGTCAAAGGAATCTTAAGTTATTGGGCGGACAAGCTTTTTTTAGTCAAGGCCCCTGTGACCTTGACCTTTGACCCAGCAACCTCAAAATCAATAGGGGTCATCTAATAGTCATGACTAACCTCCATGCCAAATATAAAGACTGTGGGTCAAAGGAATCCTAAGTAATTTGGCGGACAACGAAAAACTGACGGATGTCCGGACAGACGAGCTGATTCCAGTATACCCCCCAAACAATTTCGTTGTGCGGGGGGATAACTATATCAATGTCAATGTTTTCTGTTGATTAATAATCGATATATATTTGAACAAAAGCCACCGCAGGGAGTGGGCAACCCTTGACTTTTTACTTTTTCTTAAAGCAAACAAAAGAAATGTTTGAACAATCTTAATGTTTCCTTTTTATAAATTTAAATCGTCTGTCTTGTCACATTAGTTTTGTCAAAGTATGAATCCTTTCAATATATATCGGCATGTGTATTACAGAAGAAAGAAAAAAGAACAAGATTGCATTTGAGAAAAATGCTATGCCACCGCAATAAAACAACACTAAATAGTAGTGTAGGAACAGATTTTTTTGTTTCTATACAATTGAAAATTGTCATAATGCATATCTAATTCTTATTATCAGATTAGTCCCGGGTGTAGATTTTCCGAGGTTTATGAAAAAAACCATGGAAACTGCTTCAAAAACCTTGGAAATAAACCAGTTTTACAAGGTTTTTTTTTAATTCCGAGGTTTTTATTAAAACCTTGGAAACTTTATCCAAGGTTTTTGTATAAAAATCCTTGGAAATAAAGAAAACCTTGGAAACTACCTCGGAATTAAACACTCTGCCAAAAATCAGCTCGGAAAAAGCTTGGAAATAAGAACTTTGTCATTTTTTTGCTCGGAAAAGAACTTAGAAAATTTACGTAAAATTTGTTGGAAACACTTTGCCAATATTTAGCTTGGAAATGACCTCGGATAATTGAACTTAACTAAATTTCATCTCGGAAAATATTAAGACATAATCATGATTTAACTTATAATGGGCATCAAAAGCAATAATCAACAGTTAAAGCAAACTAAGATAACAACCTGACTGTAGATTGCCAATGGATATTTTTTAATCCATGGTCAGAGAAAACAATTGTCCAACAGCATGGAAAGGAGAGATTTGGTCCAGGGAATCAATTTTTAGTATGGACATTGTCAATGGCCAACTTCCTTTTCAATAAATTTGTACTTTAATCTTCTGAAGCCATTTTGGGGAGGAATCAATTAAAAAAATTTAAGTGTGAAAAACATGGAAAAGTTAAATACAATGTAAATTCCTTGTTGCCATAAAATACCTTTTATTAATGGCTATAAAGGTATTGTAACTAATCATAATAAGATAAAGATTATTCAAATAACTGATGATCAGAAAGACTTTAAAATTTTATTTTTTTTATTTTCATATTTTTTTTTTATTATTTATAATTATTGTTACTAGATATCTTCTCCATTTTTAAGAATAGATAAAAGAGCAAAACTTATAATTATAGAAAAAGAAACAATCAGTGTTTATGTCTATTAGTTTCCAAATGCATCAGTATTTTTCCTGCAGTTTCTTTCTATATATAGACTTAACTTAGGGTTTCTTGACAGCCTGTAAGCAACACTGAAATAAGAATGCTATTAATCTTTAATATATGTTTTATGCCATATAAAACAGTATATTCTACTAAGCAAGTCTGTGACATACATTCAGATTACAATTTACTCTGCCATTAATTATGTGTACAATAAACATAAATAGTTATTAATTGTCCTTTAAATATAATTATGTACAATTGAATGTATGAAATATAATAACCAGTATGCTTGTTAATTTCTTATAATTAGGATAAATAAATACTGCATCCACTAAGATTTCACACACAGAATATAACACACTGATCAGATAAAACTAATGGCACCCCAGGTGGTTCCCTTTATCTATGCATGATCAATCTTCTCATTGAGCATTCTGGGATAGACCAGATTGTTCCATGTGATTATTCAGGGGGAATCTGGGATTTTATACAATCCAAAACAGTCTAAAATGACACTGCAACTGTGATTCTCTTTCAAGAACTTATTATAATTTTCAAGTTTTACTTTTATTTATCATTTGATATATTTGTACCTTCAATAAATGTCCAAAAAAAATGATGATGGCTTTGATATTTTGGGATCACCCCTGTTTCACATTATGATTGCCCCTTCAGTTATACTGTTGAAAAATTTGAATCTCAGGCATTAATGGGTCAAGTGGTTATAGTTGGAAATAGTGCAAACCTGGATTTATTTTAAGCAATTTTGGAGATATCTTGTTTTATTAATGTTAGGGAGCATATTTTGGAATTTTCAAAGAAAACATTTATCTAAGTGTGACAAGATTCAGAAAATGTTTGGTTGTTGTAATTGAACCTAAAGATCAATGACCTGGGACAGGAAGATAAACAAAAGAAACAAGATAGTTAAAATGTTCAGGTAAATAATTTTAGATACATTTATGCATAAAATCTGTTGTTGTTGTTTTTTTCAAATAAGTATTAAATACAAACTATTTTAGATCTATATTTTTAACCTAAATGTAAGCTAGTTTAAATACAATTGTTTAGAGGATATTTTATGAGTATAAATGCTATGTTTGTCTATGATTGTATTGAACAAGATGAGTGCATTAAACTATGATGACATTATTTATAAACTTTCATCTTTCATCTATTATTTGAATCTACAAATTTTAATTACAGAGTCAGCTTGTAAGCAAGTTTGCAGGAATGTTCCAAACTATCCAGCTTTGCTGTGTTTTATCATAGTATAAAGCAGAGGAATATAATGGAATGTCATTGGCATTGGCACCGTGTCAAGTGATTAAGGAAGCCAACTGTAGACCAGGAAAGGCTTCAAGGAATATACTACAGTAAGTTTTTGTTTTAAAACTAGGTTTTGAAAGTTTCAATTTGAAATTTGAATGAATGAAGGTTTCTGGAACTGATTTTTTTATTGATACTTTGTTGGAAATGCTGTTAATGTTACATGATGAATCACCTTATGAAAAGCGTTATCTTTTGCAATATTTTTGGAGTGCTTTAGGTTGTAACATCCAGTATGACATAATTTAAAATAATAGTAACAGACATCGTTTCTTTTCTTAACATCGCAGAATTGTCACACTGCTTACCAAAGTTTTCTTGAAATCCTAACACTTTAAGTACTGATGAAGAAAAAATAGAAATCAACATGAAAAAAATTAAATTCACTATTTCAAAACAGTAGACAAACATTTAAAAGTAACTACAGAAAAGGTCATTTGAAAATATTAAAGCCTTCATTTTAAGCAAAGGTCTTAAACAACTTGTCATTCAAGTAGTTTTGGATCACTCAAAAGATGTATTTCTTTTCACAAAAGTGCTGATTTTTTAAAACAATATATATCAACAGTGAACTGATATTTTTGTCTATGGAAACGTTTAAGGAACGTATCATTTTTTTTATTGATTAATAAAAAAGAAATTAAATGATGTAATTCTGATTGCCTACACATACTGAACTGTCCTGAGTATAACCACAGGTGTTCCTTAATCCTGGGCTGGATAGCTCCCTCAGAGGGAAGAAGCCCATCCTGGCTTCAGGAGTCAAAAATACAATGTTGCAAGGCAAGTAGTTTGAAGTCTTTGATCCTGACCACATGGAGAGGGAAGCGCCCAGTGGTGATTTTATATAATTGTTTTTCTAACTTCTTTCAATGGCTGTACTTTATTAAATATTTACTTTATTTATTTCAGGAATTGTATCCTGGAGCATTTTCCACATGTGACCCCTGTGATGGTGAGGGAAAAACTAAGGAACACTTTAAAATCATGGAGAGTGAACAGGAATTCAAAAGATAGATATTTGAATACATTAAAATATAGCCGGATACCAAAAAATTATAACTGAACATTGATTGTAATATTTACCATTAAAGACTATAACTAACTTAACTTTTCATTTGTAGTGCATTACTATTTACTTCACACTGACATTAAATGTTTCAGTGAGTCATGTGATCATTTTTTGCTCTGTATTATTATAAAGAAGTTTCTTAATTCCTTAAAAGGACAATATAATTGCTCTTTTCAGAATATTTCATTGGATGTTATATTTTCTTATTTTCCATGGATATTCTAGAAATTTCCAAGGTTTT